TAAAGATGATTAAATATGCCAGTACAGATGGATAAATTTTAGAATTCTGGAGTAAAGGAAATAATTTTGACATGAGGTACAGGAGCTCCTAATTTACTTGGCCATCTGGGCTAATTACATCTGGGCTAATTACATTTGGGGTATTTTGACCTTACCAAAAGTTTTGGTTGAAATCCTTTTACAATAATTCACATTCTCACAAGGAAGAGGGGGGGGACTCTTTTTAGAGAAAGGAATAAAATATTAAAAATATTTTATCTTTATTATCTCCATAAAATAATATAATTCTCATACTATACTAACTCATAATTGGGTGAACTGTGGTTTGCTACATAAACCAAATTTGTTGGGTTTTCATAGCATGCTAAATTTTCAGTTCACACATCAATGGACTAAGATCGTATAATATGGTAAATAAAAATAAGCAAAACATATTATCTCTTAAAAGCTTATGTGACTCAGATCACAGATGGGGGGGACAGTAAGGGAGTACGGTGGAGTGGTTAAAGTGTCAGGCTCAAAGCAAAAAGACTTCCATCAGCTATGGAACCATGTTGGGGACTTTGGGATACTGTAATCATTCTTTAATCATTCTCTTCCAGCCCTCCCACCCCGGCCGCCATTTTCATGGTGATTTTTCTGGTGGAGACAAATAGGAGAGTGCGCTAAATATGCCATCTTGAGTTTCTGCAGGAATGATAAATAATTCAATAAATAAATATATTTTACTTAATGAACAAACTACAGCTGTAGTTTATTGACACACTAGTTTCTTTATTTTGGTTTAAATTAATTATGTGAACTCAAACAATTTACAATAGCTTATCTTATTTTATGAACTAGGCCTTAGGCATTGCACCCACCTATTCTCATGTAAGACTAGTTATTCTACATATCACCATAAGAAGCTGATATTAATTGATGGATAAACATAGGAGTCATACATCTTGCTAACGCATGGTTTAACAGTAGTGTAACAAGCCACAATTAACTTGATTCACACATCCAAAAGTCTTGGAAAGATTAATTCAAACCACCTCTAGTATGAGACATACTATTTGTAATGTTTTAATTCAAACAAACCATAGCCCATGATAGTGTGCAGAATCACTAAGTGTCTTCCCTAGCACTGTAAAGAGTTTATTCAGTTTTGGCTTTGTTACATGAATCTGAACACTGAACATCATAGTTTATGTGAACCATGTCAACTGAAGTATAACCAGTGTGCCTTTGCCATAGCATACATTGACTCAAGGATGGAAACATTACTTTCAACCTGCACCACTTAAAGACACTTCCGACATTCTCATATGTGGGTTAAGGGACCAAAAAATGAAGATTCCTTATGGATTGGCAGCAAACAAAATCTGCTGGGATACATTTGTATCTTGGTTATGTGCAAAATGGGGTGGGGGAAGGGATATATACCTTGTGATTACATTAATTTATTTATTACATTAATTACAAATTCAACATTCCTTTCATAAGTGCTCTGGTAAACTAGGTGGGATTTTCTCTTACTTTTTTCTCTTATATAAAGGACTTTGCATGTATTTGTATTGCTATTAAAGATCAATTTCAGCCCAGTTTTCTAATCTTTTAAGATCAGTTTCAATATTGATAATTTTCTGTAGCTGTAAGTTCAATTGAGAAGTTTTCAAAAATGCAAAGGCAAACCATTTTGTATCATGCCAGGTAAACTATATGGATGTGTCCATGTAAGTCATCAAAATCTGAGTTTGTTTCAAAGACAACCAACCTTTTTAACTTCTAAAGTAGTGTAATAAACATTCCCAAAGACAAAGAAGCCCCTCCCTTTTTTTTCTTTTAATTTTTATGCCTGGAAATATTAGTCCCCTATAGTGTCCAATTTCTGAAATTACAAAATCTCAAATTTCTGTTACAACTTAAGATAGACTAAACAATTTAGTTTCCATAAATGTACTGTTTCTTTGTCTATTATTATAAATGATTCATTTATAATTTTCTTGAATTAAAGTCTTAGCTTTTTGGAGTGTGCAGTGGCCTAGAGGTGGAGCCCTTGCCTCACAATCAGGAGGCTGTGAGTTCAATCCTACATAGAGGCAGATATTTCTCTCTCTGAGCACACTGGGAATATATCTGTTGAACAAAACTCTGCATTGGTGACAGGAAGGGCATCCATCCAGCCATTAAAACATTCTACGAGTTCCATTGAGTTGCCCAGACTCCACCCTACAAGGGATTATGGGATCGTTAAAAGAAGAAGAAGAAGAAGAAGAAGAAGAAGAAGAAGAAGAAGAGGAGGTGGAGGAGGAGGAGGAGGAGGAAGAGGAAGAGGAAGAAGAAGAAAGTCTGATGTAGCTTTTTGTCATTTGTTTCAAATTCTAACGGTTATATTTTGTTTATTTTGTAAACTCATGGCTTTGCAAAACTTGTTGTTTTAAGTATCTCTATTAGCCTTAAGATAATTTTAAAAGGTCATTTTAAAAAAATGTGATTATAAGGTGAGGTTAGCAAACCCAAAGGTTGTGTCACAGTTGCGAGTGTGATGACTTTTAAATGCCATTACATTCCCATTATCTTGACAAACGAAGCAGGGCAAACTAAGCAGGGCTGGTTCTGAATGTATATTGCATTTAAACGAAAGACTTGGAGCAAAGCCCAAGGAGGTAATCTAATAAACATCCTAGGGGAAAAAAACAGCATTTTTTTTTCATATTGGAGCCAAGAAGCATCCATGAAGTCTCTAGGAGTCACTAGGAGTCAAATATGTTTACTTTAAAGCAGTAAACAGTAAACAGCAGTAAAGCAGACAATGAAAATATGTGATGCTTTAAATGGAATTTACTGTTTGTATTTTAAAATGCACTATATTCCTTTTAATTCAGCCCTGTGAACCATAGTTTTTATCATTTACAATGCAGGCAATGAGAAACGTGAAGCTGAGTGCCAGGCACCTATGCTGAGCTTGCTAGCAGTAAGACATGAGCTAAGGACATTGGTAACATCTTAAAGACTCATTTTTATTAGGGGCTAAGCTGTGGTGGATAACAGCCCGCTTACATATATGTCTTGCAAGATGCTTTGAAACTAATTAGATGTGACTCCTTATTATTTTTTTCAGCTGGATCAGCAACTTAAAAACATGACAGAGCTATGTCAGCCCCTGATGATGGCTGAGTCGGAACCCAAAGGAGTTCATAAAGCCGAATCGCCTATTTCCAGTAGCTGAACTGCATCAGAATGGGCACGATGTTCCCTGCTGGCTCAGACCAAAGGCCAGTCTGGCAGAATTTCCTGCTGGCTCAAAGCTGCGTCTCGCATTTTTTTTAAAAATGATCAAACTGCGAAGGCTCCAAGTTCCGTTTCAGAATCCATCTGTACTAATACATTATATATCCTCTTTATATGCATTGAGCTTTGATCTCTTATTTGTTTAAACAAGTTATCCTCAACTTTTACAAAGCCAATTTTTTGATCTATTTTCCACCTAGCCTGTAATTGACCATACTGAAACCACGTTTGAACTACCTTCTCTTCTTTAAGTACCTCTAAAGATTTTAGTTCCATCACCCCTCTTTCTGAGATAAGAAGTTG